TCTTCACCACATTTGCTTATGCACACATTTGTCTTCATGATTGTGTCAGTAGAGCGGGCACCCACTGATATGATTTTAAGTTCTTTGATGTCTGATAACTGATCCCTTCTACACCTTGTGGTCAGACAGGCTGGTGTGCTTCTTCCATATTGGTTTTGATGCTTCTCAGCTAGATGGCCGCTTGTTTGTCTTCAAGCCTTTAAGACCCTGGAAGCTATATCTTACCTCCAAAGAAACAAAGAATATGACTGGGTTCACACCCTTTACTAAAATTAGTACTTAATTTCACCTTAATCCTGTCCATGAGTATTACAGAGAACTTCCATGAAAATGTGATTATAGTCACAAGCATATTGCCCAGAATTATAATACATCATATAAGGAATTGCACTATTTAATTTTGAGGACTTCTGGTTTTCCTAGACTCATATTTTTGCACCTCCAAAGTCCAATCATTAGCAGATTTCTGCACCTGTTTCTCCCTACCTTGAGTCATGTCCTATCTGCAAGTGAAGATCTGGAAGGCTTCAGTCCCACAGGCTTTATCCAAGTCACATCACCAAGGTCAAGGCCACTCAGAAAGCATCAACGTTTCTTAAACTGAAATAACTGAAGAAAACTGAAATACTCTCAGCATATCTCAAATTGAAATTGAAAGAACTCAAGAAAAAAATTAAGCCTCAAGTTGCAATATTCAGAAATTCTATGGGCAAAATATTGGATGATGCAAGAAGCATCGGAAGAAGATGGGAAGAAAACACAGTGTCACTGTGCCAAAAAAAAAACTAGTCCACATTCCACCATGTCGGGAGGCAGTATATGAGCAAGTATCAATGATGCTGAAAGAAGAAATTCAAGCGATACTGAATGCATTAGCCATAAGGCTTCAGGAATTGATGGATATCTATTGAAATGTTTTAACAAGCTGATGAAGTACAGGAAGCATTATTTTTCTGTCAGGAAATATGAAAAGCAGCTGCTTGTACAATTACTGGAAGAGATCCATGTTTGGACTCATTAAAAAGAAAGATGACCCTAGTTCCTAAATGCTTCCTCCCCACCCCCACTATCATGATCCAAATTCTCCCTTGCAAGTCTGGCTAGACCAGAGGATGTACACTGATACAGATAGGAACTGGAAACACAGAGAATCCAGGGCGGATGATCCCTTCAGGACCAGTGGTGTGAGTGGCAATACTGGGAGGTAGAGGGAGAATGGGTTTTAAAGAGGGAACCGATTACAAGGATTTGTATGTGACCTCCTCCCTGGGGGATGGACAACAGAAAAGTGGGTGAAAGGAGATGTCGGGCAGGGCAGGATATGACAAAAAAAAAAATTTATAAATTATCAAGGGCTCATGAGGGAGGGGGAAATGAGAATGGAGGGGGAAAATGAGGATCTGATGTGGGGGGCTTAAGTGGAGGGCAAATGTTTTGAGAATGATGAGGGCAATGAATGTACAAATGTGCTTTACACAATTGATGTATGTATGGATTGTGATAAGAGTCATATGAGCCCCTAATAAAACGATTTAAAAAAAAGAAAGAAAGATGACCTAACAGAAGGCTGATAGACAGAACTATAGAACACCATCGCTGATATCACATGCCAGGAAAGTTTTGCTGAAGATATCTAGCAGCAGTTGTAGCTATACACTGACAAACGTTCAGGTTAGAACCCAAAGGGAACATGGAACAAGAGCTATAATTACTGATATCAGGTGGCTCTTGGCTAAAAGCAGAGAATACCAGAAAGATTATTACTTGTGTTTTATTACCAAGGCATTCCAGTGTGTGGATCATAACAAGCTATTGGTAAACTTGAGAAGAATGAGAATTTCAGAATACTTCATTATGGCCATTCAGATTTGTACATGGGTACAGTTGTGTGAACAGAAGAAGGGAATACTGTATGTTTTAAAATCAGGAAAGGTGTACATCAGGAATGTGTCATCTCACCATATTCCATTGGCATGCTGACAAAATCATCTGAGAAGCTGGCTTAGATGAAGAAAAATGTGACATCAGAATGGGAGGAAGGCTTATTAACAACCTGTGAGAGATGGATGGCGCAAACTTGTTCGCTGAAAGCGAGGAGGACTTCAAACACTTGATAAAGGTCAAGGATTGCAGCCTTCAGCATGAATTATGACTCAGTGTAAATAAGACCCAAACCCTTACACCTGGACCAATAGGTGACATCATGATAAATGGAGAAACAACTAAAGTTCTCAAGGATTTTGTCTTGCTAGAATTCACAATCAATGCTCACAGAAGTAGCATTCATCAAAAGATGTGTTGCATTAGGTAAATCTGCAGAGTATTAAAAAGCAAGATGTTACTTTGAGAACTAAGGTAAACCATGTTATCTTCAGTTGTCTCCTATGCATATGTAAGTTGGACGTTGAATAAGACAGACAGAATAAGAATGGATGCAGTTCATGTGTGTTGATGGAGAAGGGTATTGAAAATATCATGGACTGCTAAAAGGACAAACCGATCGATCCTGGAAGAAATACAACCAGAGTGCTCCTTCGAGGCAAGGGTGGTAAGGTTTCATCTTTCATATTTGGACCGGATGTCAGAGGAGATCATACCAGGAGAAGGACATCATGCTTGGTAAAGTGAAGGGGCAGCAAAAATAGGAAGAGCCTCAATAAGATAGATTGATATAGGACACCACGACTGCAGCAATGGGTTCAGTCGTGAAAACAACCATGAGGATGGCCCAGGACCAGGAAGTGTCTTTCTGTTGTGCTTAGGTGCTGTGGGGCTGCACCAACTTGGTGGCACCAAACAACAGCAAAACATTTAGCAGTTCAGTGAAACACGTAATGTGAGAGAGCTTCAAACAACTTAACTTAAAATGAAAGTCAAAGAGAATATTAATACTATATATTAAATTATAAGTATTTATATTTGTATTATTAAAGAGAGGAAATCAGGAAACAAAATATATGAGGACATTTATTCTGAGCAATCTATAACTATAAATAGTATAAATTTATTATAATCTAAATTCATTAGATTATGACTTTTTTTTCCATCTACTGGCTTGTTTCCACATTTTCCAATACAAACTTTTATATAAGGTCTTCCAAACTATCCTTTACAATTGATTTTTTTAACCTTAGTTCAGAACTCTGTACTTACCACTACTA